TTCCTCATTCAGTTGCCATAGCGCTCACAACGTTTTTGCTTGGACAAACATAGAGACCACAACTTTTCAGCAGAAAATTGGTCAAGGAATGGACTTCATTTGTCTTTGACGAATTGTGTTTTGGTATTACAAGTGACAAGGCTCACTGACGATCCTGTGCAAATTTCTGCGATTACACCAAGTCTATGTTCAGTTATTGGTAAAGGTATGTGGTATCCAAAAGCTGATTTGCAATCAAGCCTATGCTACGTACCAGGACCCTTGGAAACATCATTCCGAAATTCTTGTCAGACTCATCTTTTATGCAAATATTTTATCAAATATCTTTAACATTATTGATTGCCATGCCAAAATGTAAGTCTGCCCTATCAGCAATGTCACGATGAATGCAATTTCGGAAAAGTGTGACTTGCCTTTAAAATTAAATCTGTATTGCGGAGTGGTAACTTGCGTTGCTACAATGTCCAAGAACTGATTTCGAATATGTGAAGATACTAAGAAGACCAAGAAGAAATCGAAACTTTAGCCTATCCTGGATGAGAAAACTTTTTTATGGCAAGGCTAAGGTAAATTTCAATTAATCGTTAGGGCACTTTTACTATCACTTTGTCACCTAGGCTGATTAAATTTGTACTCAAGACTTAATGTTAGTTTCGAAATATACTACTTTCGCATAGGAATTGTTGGTGAAGTCTTGTTTTTAATCGCTTTGTTGCTGCTTTCATGTATCTGATTTGTTGATAAAGTACGTAACTTGTAATGCCAATAATTCAATCATTTTAGCAGCTACAACTCCGCAGTAATATATCGAGTTTAATGACAAACAGTGCCTTGAACGTAAATCTTATTGCTTTCTCCCAACTCCCATGTCCACGATCGGAATCCAACCGAATATTGATGATGGTGAAATGGTCGAAACTTCAGTCAATAGTGCAGATTACGAATAGAAGTTGGGTTTTGAAAAGTTTTATTGTTGTCGCAGAACGTTGAGCTGAGGACTTGTTCGCACAATCCGGCAATCCTCTTTCTAACCACTTTTTCCTTCGAAATGGAAAATCATGACATAATAGTGGAGGAAATCAACTTTTTGGATGCTTAGCTTGGTGAATTTGATTTCACAATCTCGATTTCTCTTAACTTTTCTACCAACTTTTAGCCTTTATTCATACCTCAAAAACCAGTTCTCGTTGCGTTGACTTTTCCCACCCTCATTGTCATGGCCAAGGCCCTACCGCAAGTGGCTGATTCCAGCCAGGTCGACATATTGTCGCTGAGGGATGTGGCGTCTTCGTCCCTTTCAGGACAATCTTCTGCCGGAGCTTCGGTTCATGACTCGTCAACTGGCTGGCCCATTGACTGTCAGTCCTCCCTCGATCTTGGCGCTGAAGAGGCTGCCGAACCACTCCTTTATGGCACCAACTCCGCTGACTCCGAATGGCAGGACACGTGCCGAGAAGTTGCTGGCCGAATGTCCTCCCCTCCTCTTGCGAAATCGCAGACCCGTCCTGTCCATTTCGGAGCCGATGACTTTCCGGCTCCGTTATCCACCGAAATGGCTTGCAAAGAGGCCTCAGTCGAGGAGGACATTAAGGATCCGACGAGTGTTGAGCGAGAGGCGGCAGAGGGTGAAGAGTGGAATGAAAACGGAGTGGAGGGGCAGGAGCAGCAGCCTCGGATGACCACGACTACCAGACCGATGTTGGCCACCTCCTGGCCGCAGACGACGCAAAGCAAATCATCCTGCTCGGTCGCCCCACCAGTCGGCATGGCGACAGGGCAAGCAGACGGCTCTGATGTGAACCGTGAAATGGGCAGTCGGATGGCAAGGCGACCGGTGGAAATGTCTGATTTCGGTCTGGATCTGAGCTCAGAATCATTGAAGCCTGGTGACTTTGCTGACGGTCAACTTGGCTCCGGTTCCGGGGTCTTTGATCCCACTGGTCAACCGTCCAGT